CTAATGTGTTCTTATTAGCAACGTCTCTGATCTATTAATGAAAGAGTAATCACACACACTTAAGGGCAACTTGGCGAGACCTCATCTCTACAATAAATAAAAAAAGTAGCCAGGTGTGGTAGCGCGCACCTGTAGTTCCAGCTACTCGGAAGGCTGAGGCGGAAGGATCGCTGGAACCCAACAGGTCGAGGCTGCAGTGGCCGGGAGCGGCCACTGCACTCCAGGCTGGGTGACAGAGTGAGATTCCAACTCAAAAAAAAAAGTAGAAAGGAAACAGCACAATCATTTTGTTTTGTCTGTGAGATAATCATCACCTTTATGCTGAGTGAAAGACTTTTTTTCATTTATAGAACACCTCCTCTCCCTTCTTCATTTTGACACTTGTGTGAAGTCCCAACCCGAAAGATTTCAAAGGATTAAGTCATTGTTTCTAAGAAATTCTTGTCACCAAGGAAAGGTTCAAGCCCTAATTCAGTGAATAGCGTCTCAGAATGAGGCATTAATCTGATTTACAGCAGAGTTTGTAGGGATTTAGAATCATGGCTAATTTTGCAGGTACATTTGGTAAGACCTTAGTGAACTTTGTGGTTGCCTGAATAATGAATGATTAAGAAAAAAAAAAAAAGGAACACTAGAAGTGGAAGACTTCAAAATCATATTTTGTCAATTTCAATTTTTTTCTTAGTGTTAGTCCTATAGGATGGAATGAGAAAAATATCAAAAGAAAGCTGTGCTTTAATTTATATTTTTGCCAAGGTAGCATTGACAAGTTTATGTCCAGGAGTTTTTTTATGGCAAGATATAATTTATATTCTGTATCCTCTCCCAATAATTCCTTATGTGATTTTCCATAATAATTTGTAGTATGATCTACCTGAAACTGGCTAATTGCTGAGAAATTTTTTTTTTTGCTTGAGAAGACCTTTTGTCATCATGATTTGTAAGATCTTTAGGTTATGAGTTAAAGGTGTTTACAACCCAGATAAATATCTGAGCGATAGGATATGGAATGAAAATATTATATCCTATGGCAATTTTGATAAAATAAAATTGACAATTAGGAAATAATTCTTTTGCCTTCAAACTACTGTGTTTGAATGAATTCTGAAACACCTTATTTGATCAAATTGTAATAGATGTAGTTTTTTTTTTGGTTCTTTTAAGAATACATGTTCTAAAAAGTGTAGAGGTCAAATAAAACATTTGCCCAAATTTATACAAAAATATGTTTTGAGTTCAACCTTTAAAAATAAACTAGCTAAAACAAGAAATATATAAGTGTATTTCCAATTAGGGGATGATTTAAAAAGAAAATAATTTGTAGGAGTTCATACAAGACAGAAAAGCAAAGAAAAGATGTGAAGTCAAGACAAAAGAACCAGCAGTGAGCAAGGTAGCTTTGGTGGAGCTGAGTGCTTCTGAGATGAGGTAAGTGCTGACCTGTCACTAAAAGATCAACAATATTTTAAACTTGACAATTAAGAAACAAGTGCTCATCATTTAAAGACATTTGAGAGACATAAATGAATGAGATGGTGAAATCCAAAAAAGGTATGAAAAAAATGGAGCTAAACTAGTTATCATGGGAATGAAAACAAATGTTTGCCTTGGAATGAGAAACATTAACTCTGTGCATTTTTAAAATATAATAAGCACTTTAATACATGGATCCAGTTTCACAGCCTTGATTCCCTCTTGTTTTTTGATGACTCCTAAGTTTATATCCCCAGCTGTGGTTCCTCAGTTAATCAAATGTCTGACATTCCAGATGTGTACTGAAAATTTAAATGCCCCTCAAATTCAAGATATAAAAAATTTACCATTTTTTTCTCAAATTATTTCTTCTAGACTTCATTTTTCTCTCTCTTTATTCTTTTTTTTTTTTTTAATTATCTTTAAATACAGAGTTTGGATCACTTTTCAGAAACAGCACATATATGTTTTGCCATGTTATAATGGATTTTTTTTTTTTTGAGTTGGAGTCTCACTCTGTCGCCCAGACTGGAGTGCAGTGGCCGCTCCCGGCCACCGCAGCCTCGACCTGCTGGGCTCCGGCGATCCTTCCGCCTCAGTCTTCCGAGTAGCCGGAATTACAGGCATGCACTACCACGCCCGGCTGATTTTTTGATTTATTGTAGAGACGAGGTCTCGCCGAGTTGCCCAGGTGGGTCTCGAACCCGCGGACTCAGGCAATCCACTCACCTCAGTCTCCCAAAGGCGCGGGATTACAGGCTGAGCCACCGAGCCCGGCTTTCCTTATACTTAAGGCAAAGTCTGTGACATCTTTAACAAGTTTCTTTCCTTTACCAATATAGTTAAGTAGTTACCAAGTTCTGGCAAATATTTTACTTCTATAAACTTTCTTAAATTCCTCACTTTCCATTCTTACTATCATCCCACCGTTCTATTCTTATGAATTATAACGATCTCTTTCATCACTGATTCTTTCCTTTTATTCTTCCTTTCAACTGTCATTGAACATGCTGTTAGAAGATTTATTTTCCTAAGCACTACAATTTCTCATTAGTCATTTCCACAGGGTAAAATCAAAGCTCCTTGACAAGCACTAAAGACTTCACATAATCTGAATCTTTCTGCCTTATCTATCCTCTGAGATATAGTTGCCCTCGATTCCCTTTGTCTTTACTTATTTATTCAACAAAAATTATCTACAATGCTGAACATCATGCTATGTTCTGTGCATAAAACACAACAAATAATGATGTGGTCCCATATCACAACATGCTCATCACTAAAGGAGAAAAATAGTAATATGATTGTAGGATCATAATATTAGCCATGGAAGACATCAGTGAAGAGAAGGTGACAGAGTTTGAGTGTGAGCTAACTGGGTAGACTTGAGGTGAACATTTTAGGTGATGGAACAGTAAGTGCAAAGACACGGAGACATGAAAGAGTCTGGTGCGTCCATAGGATTCTGGGTAGTTTAAAATAGCTGGAACCTAGGTTATATGTTGGACAGTGAGAAGAGATGGTGGAGGAGTTGGCCTAAGACAGGGGCCTAGGCAACTGATTTACAGTAACATGAGAAAAAGAGAGATGGGGCACAGATAAAGAGAACTTCACTAATATGATGGTGGAATTGTGAAGATTCTTTTCTGGCAAATTCCATTTTCTCAGTGGAATAAGGAAGTTTATCAGAGTGAAGATGGGTGCTGAAGATTTGAGAAAAAAATATATGAAATCACTTTTGGGGAGAATGAAGAAACATTAACAGAGAATAAATTTTTAAAAAAATTTTGTTTTCCTGAAAGCATCAACCCAATTTATTATTATCTATGATCCAATACATTATATACATTGCATTCAAATGCTACTTCTAATTTTAAAAATCTGACAATATGCCCTAGTAGTTTAAAGTTTTTCAATATTTTACTGTGAAGATAGTGCATAGCTTAGTGAGAATCTGCATTACCACGGTTGTTATAGTGCAAATTTTCAGGCTCTTCTAGTGATTCAAATTTGCAAGATTTAAAGTAAGATCCCACTGTGTGCATATTTAATAAGCATGCCCAAGTGATTCTGATTAAGATCACCCTCCGAGGCAGGCAAGACCTCATCTCTACAATAAATCAAAAAATTAGCCAGGCGTGGTAGCGCGCGCCTGTAATTCTGGCTACTCAGAAGGCTGAGGCGGAAGGATCGCCAGAGCCCAGCAGGTCAAGGCTGCGGTGGCCGGGAGCGGCCACTGCACTCCAGTCTGGGCGACAGAGTGAGACTCCAGCTCAAAAAAAAAAAGTCACCCTCCAATCACCTGTGAAGAAAATCTAGCACAGAATTCAAAAATCTCATCAACTTTGTGTGATATCAAAGATTTTTCTTGTTGCTACCTCTCTGTATCAGTCAGAGTTTTCCAGAAAAACAAAACCAGTAAGATATTTATAGACTAGATACACGTATATACATATAAATATAGTTATGTGAGCATAAGTACAAACACACAGAATTACTTTAGGGAATTGGCTTACACAATTGTGGGGCTGGCTAGTCTGAAACTCATAAGACAAGTTGACAGGTTGGAAACTCAGGCAGGAGTTCTTTGTTATAGTTTCAAGGCAGAATTCCTTCTTCCAGAAATCTTAGTTTTTGCTTTTAAGGTCTTCAATCAATTGGATGAGGCCCACCTACATTATAGAAGGTAATTTTCTTTACTTAAAGTCAACTGATTATAAATGTTAATCACAGATATGGCATGACTTCACAGAACTATCTAGACTAGTGTTTGACCAAACAGCTTGGCGCCATAGCCTAGACATATACAATTAAGCATCACACTTTCCAATTTCATCTTTGGCCAACTCGTGACTCAAAGTTTGCTCAACAAAATTAAATTGCTGTTTTCTTTGAGCACTGCATGTTGCTCCCTTTTTCTGCTCTGTCTTTTCACACCTCTTTGTCTAGGAAATTCAAACAAATCCTTATCTCAACGTAGGCTGAGGCTCCTAATACATATTTGTTGCTTAAATGAGACACGGTGAAAATATCGAATTTATTGTAGATTTATCATGGCATGATTTTCAACAAAAGATTTATTTGAACCACAGTAATAAACAAGCTAGTAAGATAGATGGACACTGCTCTAACCTAGTAGTGTAGCACTCTATATTTGTGTGTTCTTTGTAATTAATAAAGATATAATAAATAACATAGGTTCATAGTCAGTCTTCAAAAAAAAAATACTGTAAGTTTAGGCATAAAGAACTTCTAAGACATTTCCCTTCCTGTCCCTCCCTGATGACTGGATAAAATCTTCCCTTATTGATACTTACTGTGTTTCTACCCATTGATTAGGGAAGGGAGCTAGATGACAAGTATAGATAACTTGGCATCAACCATCGTACTCCTGAAAATAACTTCATAGCACAGATCTAGAGAGGTTTTATCAACAGTTGTAAGAAAAGCTCATGGTTTGTTTTGTTTCTTTGTCTCTTTCTTCTTTCTTTTCTCCTTCCTTTCTTCAAATGTTTTTTGCTACTACTATGTCTAAATTGTGGAACTTCCGGGGGTGAGTAGGAGAAAAGAAATAGATTTTAAAGTGACTGTTTTTTCTGATACTTCCTTTGTATTCATATCCTTTACTCGCAGACCATTCGTAGCTCCTCGTCCATCCTTACCACTATGGATGATTGCCCTTATTGTGTTTGGAGTGCTGGCAATCCTTGGAATAACTATTGGTCTCTTGGTTCACTTTCTGGCAGTAGGTTGGTAAAAAAAAATTTTTTTAATTTATTTCATTTTATCGTAATCTTTACTTTCATTTCTATAAAAGATAAAAGATTGAAAACAATGAATTAGTTCCCTTTAAAATGGCATCAGTGACCCCAGATCTCGGAAATAATGTTGACATTTGCCAAACATCTTTTTGACTAGACACAGGTAAAAGAATGGCTATTCCTGTAGACACACGAATGTGTAAACAGATAATTACTACACAGGCAGAAAAAGTAATTCTGCCAGGATGGTACTACATGTGTTATTTTATAATTAAAATATTACAATTATTCTATTTGAAGAAGAGAAACCAATGAATATTGAATTTCAAATAGTTTTTTCATAGCAAAGATATTAATAAGAAAAATCTATTTAGCATAACATTTTATTTTTATTTTTTATTTTTTGTTGTTGTTGTTGTTTTGAGTTGGAGTCTCACTCTGTCGCCCTGACTGGAGTGCAGTGGCCGCTCTCAGCCACCGCAGCCTCGACCTGCTGGGCTCCGGCGATCCTTCCGCCTCAGCCTTCCGAGTAGCCGGAATTACAGGCATGCGCTACCACACCCGGTTAGTTTTTTGATTTATTGTAGAGATGAGGTCTCGCCAAGTTGCCCAGGTGGGTCTCGAACCCTCGGGCTCAGGCAATCCACTCACCTCAGCCTCCCAAAGGCACGGGATTACAGGCTGAGCCACCCAGCCCGGCTTAGCATAACATTTGAAAAAGACTTTGGAAACATAAGAAAAGTTGGAGTCATTATTTTAAAGCAGTGTGTTTTAACTTTAGACATTGTGCCATTTATATCCTACTATAAAAGACAAGAGAATCAGCACACTAGTACCTCTCATATTCTTCTGATACTTCTCAGTAGTTTGTTAGCAAATAATACTCCTGGTAGATTGTCAATATTTATAACACTCTATTCTGGTTTGTAATAAAAGTTACTACAGGCTTTTAGTTTTGAATACATATTTACAGGGAGCATATGCTCACTATTGGTCCTTTCTCCATGGCATTGCCAAGTTGGAGTGTTGTTATTTTCTCCAAAGCTAGATCTATTCAGAGTTTAAAGGGTCAAATAGTTATTTAGAGTTTTTTATGAAAAATGCAGAAGCAACCACTTTTAACTCTTTAAGTTGATGCTTAATATTTATGTATCATAATTTTCCAATTGTTGGTATTATCTATTCACTTTATACTATAGAAGAATGAAGATTCTGTACACATTCATACCCTGGGTACGTCACAGTCATTTGTTTCCTTTAGCAACATCTTGAGCATTACTTTCACTATCTGTTGGGTTTGATCCCCAATGCCTAAATTCCATATTTCCATTTTATTGTTTTATTCACTCAGTTGTAGTGGAGTATATACTGCAGGAGCTTTCTGGAAGAAGGTTATGACAGGAAGTGTACATTTTTTGATGTTACCTACCGGAAAATGTCTTAATTATACTTTCACCTAAATTAATAATATAGAATTCTAAATTGGAAAAAAATTTTCCCTATGAATTTTGATGCTAATGTTCAGTTGTCTTCTCGCCTTCCAAGTCTCTGTCAAAAAGTCTGATGATGTTTTGATTCTAAGACTTTTGAGTGAAACCTCTTCTATCCATGTCTCCCATGTTCTAAAACCTCATTGGATGCTTTTCTTTGTTCCCAATATTTCAAAATTTCATGGTAATATGACATAGTATAGATCATATTGTGCTGGCATTTAGTAAATAATTCAGCTCAGTTCATTCATTTCAATTCGTTTTATATTTCATGATCTGGAAATTTTCTTTGATTATTTCTTTGATGATTTCCTGTCCTTTATAGTCTCTTTCTGAAGCTCCTGCTATTTTGATAATGGGCTTCCTAAATGTAGCCTCTAATTGTTTTTAAATTCTTTTCTTTATATTTTCTATCCCTTCATCTTTTTTTCCCAAAAAATAACTTTTTGATTTTCTCAAGTTTCTTTTCAAAATTTTCTATTGAATTATTTATTTTTGCTACTATATATTTAATTTATATGATATCTTTTTATTAACTAAATATTCCCTATATAACATCTTGATATTCTTTCTTACAAAAATCCTGAGCATAGTAATTTTAAAATTTTTTTGCCTGAATAGTTTCTTTTTTCTCCAAGATTTTCTTTGCTTATATTGGTCATATTTTCTATTAGATGACACATTTCTCAAATATGTATTGATCCTTGGTGTCTGTTAATATTTGAGATTGGAGACCAAAAAACTGACTGGAACTTCTATGAGGGGAGTGTCTGTTGGCAATGGCTTTTATTACAAATGTTCTATCAGTGTTGTGGTGTTGAGAGAACCCAAATTACCAATATATTTAGATCTTTTCTCTAGGGTTGGTTGGAATCATCCGATGGGGGGAAAAAAGCCTTTTATTGTTTTGCATGCATATGATATTTGCTGCTAGTTTTCTGTAGTCAAGTTGGGAAAAGTCCAGCATAGACATTCTGAGAATAGTGTACCCAACCTCAATTATGTTTTTCATCTCCCTGATCTAAAAACCTTAGCAGTTTAGGAAGACACTGGGGGCTCACTGTTTCAACTAGTCTTTCTGGTTTTAATCCCCTTCTCATTCCTACTTCCACAAGTGCCTTGGCACCATTTAGGGGGCAGTTTAAAAACAGCATGTCTTTACTTTCCCCACCCCTATAATAGAGTTCAGGCTTCTTGGGTGTGCTAGGCCAGTTACCACTCACTTACCCGCCTCTAGCTTCCATAATGCTGTTGCTGCCTCCTCTCTCATAATCACTGTCTTTGTGGATTAATTTCTTTCAAATCCCAAATCAAACACTATTCTTATCATTTTAAGGGGATTTGGGGAAAAAACATTTAAATCTATCATTTTTAACTGAATGTTCTTGATTCCTGAATTTCTCATTAAAACTTATCTCCAGGTTGGCTATATGTCTTCTTGAAGTCATTCCTTTAAAGTTCTAAGCAGCTGAAATTCCTGAAATCTTACATGCAAAAAAAAAAAAAAAAAAATACAAGCGAAAATGTTATTGGTTTGCATTATCTTTTCTTCAGAACTTTGTAAACTTGCTCCACTATCTTATGTCCATTTAGTTTTGCTCCTCACCCCAAAAAAGATCTTGACCATTTCCCATTTGTAAGTGCAAATTTTTTTCTGCCTAAATAATCATAAGATTTTAAAAATGCAATGTTCTCACCAAGTTGTCAGTCTTACTGTTTCAATTCTTAGAACACAGTGGAGCTTCCCGCCATGCGTCCTTCCCTCTTTGAGCAGCTTCTGCTAGTTCTGCTCCCTAAGGCCCCAACAGGGCCATAGAAACGACTGCCCCCTCCAGGGAAGGCAAAGACGCCCCCTCCAGAGAAGGCCTGAGACGCTGGGTGTCACCCTGGAGGACTCCAGTCCTGTTCCAACCTCCCTAGTCCCTGGGGGTGGGTGGGGAGCTGGGGTGGCCTGCAGAGCCCAGGGCGGAAGAGCACAGCCATCCCCCACACAACCACACCTGAAGGCTCCCTGTCTGTCGCCCCTCTCTCCCTGCATGGCCAACCTTCTCCCCCCAGCCTGGTCACCCCTCTACCCCCACCTGGTCACCCTCTCACCCCGCTTGGCTGCTCCTGTCCCCTGCCTGGCTGTCCATTAAAAAAAAAACACAACAAACTCTTTTTTTTTTTTTTTGAGTTGGAGTCTCACTCTGTCGCCCAGACTGGAGTGCAGTGGCCACTCCCGGCCACCGCAGCCTCGACCTGCTGGGCTCCGGCGATCCTTCGGCCTCAGCCTTCCCAGTAGCCGGAATTACAGGCATGCGCTACCACGCCCCGCTGATTTTTTTGATTTATTGTAGAGATGAGGTCTCGCTGCCCAGGCGGGTCTCGAACCCGCGGGCTCAGGCAATCCACTCACCTCAGCCTCCCAAAGGTGCGGGATCACAGGCTGAGCCACCGAGCCCGACTACAACAAACTCTTTTAAGCTACAAATTCAAATTCATTTGTTCACTTCGTTTTTTTAGGAACTACAATTATACAGTTTTTTGAAACTCTTTTGCTTCTCCTGATGCTTAGTTCCTCAATAATTTTAGTTTTTATTTTTCTATTTTATTTTGTTTTACTCAAGCCTGTTCTTCATGTCACAAGATTTTAAATCTATATCTATGAATTTAAATGTAGTTTTCATCTCTGATAGTCTTATCTTCCTCTTCCATTTATTTGCTGGATTCTAAAACTTACTTTTCTTCTTCACTGAACTTATTGTATATTGTTGAACTCGTTTGTCTGGGACATCTTTGAAACTGGGAACTAGCTGTTAAAACTCATCTTCTGTTCCCTGGATAATTCCTCTACTGATTTTTGTGTATATTCTTTCTTCCTTTTGACTCTTTCCCTCCAAGATCTATTAAGTTTCCTACATCATGTTTTATAACTACTATTTGTTCTTTGTAATTTAGGACTGATGTTTTCTAAAGAACCCTGTAAGAAGGGAGCATGGAGGTGAATTGTAGGATGAAGGAGATTTTTTAAAATTGACACATATTAAATAATTGTACACATTTTTGAGGTCCAGAGTTATACTTAGATACATGTATATAATATGTAATGATCAAAACAGGATAATTAGCATAACTATTATTTCAAACATTAATCTTTCTTTGTGTTGAAAGCATTAAAATTTTTTCTTATAACTATTTGAGAATATAAAATAAGCTATTGTTTACTAAAGTCACCATACAGTGCTATAATACACAAGAAATTATTCCTCTTACCTAGCATAATTTTTGTTAACTAATCTCTTCCTATGTCTCCTCCCTCTATACTTTTCAGTCTATAGTAACAGTTATTCTACTCTCTACTTCTATGAGAACAACTTTTTTAGCTTCCACGTATGAGTATGTATAGTATTTATTTTTCTGTGCCTGACTTATTTCACTTAACATAATGTCCTCTAGGCTCATTCATGTTGCTGAAATTGACAGAATTTCATTCTTTTTTAATGGCAGAATAGTATTTCATTGTGTGTATATACCATATTTTCTTTATCCATTTATCTCTTGATGGACACTGAGGCTGATTGCTATTGTGAATAGAGCTGCAATAAACATAGGAGTTAAGATTTCTCTTCGACACACTAATTTCCTTTTCTCTTATTACACCCAGTAATAAGGTTGCTGAACCATATGGTAATAGCTTTTTGAGGAACTTCCATGTTGTTTTCCATAATAGCTTTATTTAGTTTAAATTTCTCCTCAACAGTATATGGGTTCCTTTTCTCTGCATCCTTGAAAGCATTTGTTATCTGTGTCTTTTTGATAATAACCATGGTGAGATGATATCTCATTGCAGTTTTGATATGCCTTTCTCTGATAATTAGTGATGTTGAGTATTTAAAAATATATACCATTTGCCCACTTTTGTGTCTTATTTTGAGAAATATCTTTTCAGATCAGTTGCCTATTTTTAAATTAGATAATTTGTTGTTGAATTAATTGTATATCCTAGACATTAACTCTTAATCCCTTGTTGGGTTAATAGTTTGCAAATATTTTCTTCCATTCTGCAGGGTATTTCTTAACTCTGTTGATAGTTTCCCTTGCTGTGTAGAAGATTGTTAGTTTGATATAATAGAATTTGTCTATTTTTGTTTTTATTACCTGTGCTTTTAAGGTCTTATTCAGCTGTGCCCAGACCAATGTCTTGAAAAGTGTTTCCTCTATGTTTTCTTCTAAAGTTTTGTAGTTTGGATTCCTGCATTTAAGTTTTTAATCCATTTTGGTTTGATTTTGTATGTGTGTGTGTGTGTGTGTGTGTGAGATAAAAGTCTTGTCAATGCAAAGAGTCTGGTTGACACAATATGACTGGGCGTAGCAGTTCACACCTATAATCCCAGCACTTTGGGAGGCTAAAGTGAGAGGACTGACTGAGTTCAGGGGTTCCAGACCAGCCTGGGCAACTTGGTGAGACCTCATCTGTACAATAAATCAAATATTAGCCGAACATAGTGGCAAGTGCCTGTAGTTCCAGCTACTTGGAAGGCTGAGTCTGGAGTATTACCGAGTCCAGCAAGTCAAGGCTATGGTGGCAGTGAGCGTGCCACTGCCCTCCCGCCTGGGTGACAAAGTGAGACTCCAACTCAAAAAAAAAAAAAAAGAAAAGAAAAGAGTCGATTATCATTGTTCTGTATATGGGTATTCAGTTTTCTCAGCACCATTTATTGGGGGGATTGTCTTTTCCCAATGTATGTTCCTGGTATTTTTGTCGAAAATCAGATAGCTGTAAATATGTGGATTTATTTCTGGGTTCTTTATTCTGTTCCATTGATCTATGTGTCCGTTTTTTATATCAGTACCATGTTATTTTGGTTACTACAGCTTTGTGGTATATTTTGAAGTCAGGTAGTGTGAAGCCTCCAGCTTTGGTCTTTTTGTTGATGATTGTTTTGGCTATGTGGGGTCTTTTGTGGTTCCATTCACATTTTAAGATTTTTTTCTATTGCTGTGAAGAGTGACATTGGTATTTTGATAGGGGTTACATTGAATCTGTAGAATTGTTTGGGTAGTATAGTCATTTTAACAATATTAATTCTTCCAGTCTATGAGTATGAGGTATCTTTCCATTTTCTTCATCAGTGCTTGGTAGTTTTTCTTGTGGAGAGCTATCATTTCCTTGGTTAAATTTTTTGTAGGTGTCTTATTTTTTTGTAGCTATTGAAATTGGGATTATTTAAAATTTTCTTTTTAAATTAGTTTTTTACTGGTATATGGAAACACTACTGATTTTTGTATGTTGATTCTGAATCCTGAAATTTTATTGAGTTTGTTTATCAGTTCTAAGAGTGTTTTGGTTGAGTCTTTAGGTTTCTTGATATATAAGAGCATGTTACCTGCAAACAGGAATAATTTGATTTTCTTTTTTTCTAATTTGGATGTCCTTTATTTCTGTCTTTTATGTAATTTTTCTGCCCAGGACTTCCAGGCTGAGGGATTTTGCAGCTTATTTCTTGGTCTATTATTTCAAACAGTCTCTTGCTTCATCTGTTATTTTCCTAAACCCTAGGTTGCCTTTACCTTCAGTTTTTAACTCTTGAGAAGCTGGGTTGTCCCTGAGGAATCTCTCTAATTTGCAGACTCTCTAAATTATGATGTAGTGCTTCCTAACATTTCTTCCTTCTTCACCCTAGTTTACCTCCAAGTTGCCTCGCTGAGAGATTAGATCACATACAATAGAAATGGCACATTTGTATGACTTAATTTTGTTATTACTTCTGCCATTCTTCAGTGTTAAAATAGGTCTTTACAAAAAATTCCTGTCTTTCTCTAGGCCCTTAAGTTTTGTTACTCTAATTGTTGAGAACTTTTAGAAAAATTCCATTCAGCTTAATTTGTGAGATGTATATCTGAACTACATTATTTCCCATTTTTGTATATATTTCACAGTTTGGGGCATATTTGCTTCACTGTTTTTGGTTTGAAGTTGTAACTCTTATAATTGAGCCCACTATTTTTGTCCTTTGTTCTTTTTCTGGGCTTAGAAGTTGGAAAACTAGAAGCCCTTTTATTCTGTTAGCTTTAAAAATCCTCTCATAATTCATGCTTTAAACCTTGATGTTAAACCCAGAGCACTTAGTACTTAAAAAAAAAAAAGTATATGTATGTTTCAGGGTTCCTTCCAGAAATAACAGACAAGTAACTAAGTCATAGAAAAGTTGTAAGATTATTTCTTTTTTCTGCTCTCTTATCCATTTTTTTCAATTCCTATTGGCATTTGAGCTGCTTATAGAGATGGAAATGTTAATTATATGGTGCAACCTTGTAAACATCCAATCCCAAGGAATTATTTTCATCAGATCAGTGTCTCATTAGGACTGCAGCATAGAATTAAATTAAAAACAGAATACTAAAGAATTGTGTTTTTTTTTCCAGTGTATGTTTTCTTAATCTAAATGTCTAGACATTAAATATTCTGTTTATCCACTGACTCTGAAAAAAAGACTCCATCCTGCTGTAATAAAACCAATCCACACCTTGCCAATTTATTGATTTACATTAAAATTATGTATGACTGTTGAACATTGTAAAAGGTAGAAATAATTGGGAATACAAATAAAGAACTGAATGGTGTATTGTAAATGATGAATTATGGGAGAGAAATTGAATATATTCAAGTTCTGTTTTTTGTTACTTATGATAAAACCTAATCAACTACCATTGTAAAGCTTGGTCTCTACAGTAAAAGAGCCTATGACTCACAGCCAAGCTAATTGAAATTAATAATGTCTATTCATAAGTCATTTATAATCAACCCATTTTCAGCACTTTGTTTAGATCTTTCTGACTTCTTTTTTCATCACCTCCTTCACTTTAAAATATTTTCACACTCATAATGATGTTATATTTTATTTTAATTATGGTGTCTCCTTTCTCTGTATTCATATAGAGTTTGCAGTTGAAAAGAAAGTCTTATAATTTATCTTATTCATACCTCATGTAATGATTTCATTCATATTATCTCTTTCACAAGATGATCTTTAAAGGCAATGAATGATCATACTGCAAAATAATATTAACATTTATTTAGTGCTCATTGTATGTTAGGCACTCATACAATATCTAGCATATGCCTAAATGCTTAATATCTATCATATTAAAGATAAGATATATCAAGTAGCTTTGTATCTATGAAGATTTAGGAAGGCAATGTAATAGATTAATGTGGCTTATAGAGTCAGACAGATTAAGTTTTGATCTTTGGGTCTTATAGCTACATGATTTGGGGTAAATTACATAATCTCTCTGAGATTACATTTCTCCTGAAAAATTAGTATAATTCATAAGGTTTTTCTTAAGTATTTTCTCGTAGAAGATACTTGAATAGTAACCATTTTTATTACTATAATATAATACAATAATATAATATAATCTGACAACTGATTATTTTAGACAGAAATCTCTTTATAGTATATATTCCTGTCTCAACCAAGATGTTACTCTTTCTAAATATATGAACATATGCATATTCTGTTATTGGATCTACAAACACTTTCTACAATGTCCAGGTTATCTAATCAACTGTACTCAAAAGATGCACAAGGGTTTGTCAATCTCTAATATAAGCACGCTACATATTGGTTGGTATTACTAGGTAATTTGTAACTGAATTTGAAGCCCACTTAATTATAAATATTAAATATTTTTTTTAATGTCTCAGAAAACAGGATCTACTACTACCAAGGTAGCTTTAAAGCGCTGAATATCCCATATAATAGAAATTATGAAAGGGAGACATCACCAGAAAACAACTATCTCAGCAAAATTCTTGAGACTAGGGTAAGTTAGTATTTTTCTATTTGTTTCATTGTAAATGATCTGAAATATATATTCTTGAAATTTGACATCTGATTCTATGTTCTCTTTTAACAGATGGTTGATGCATTTCAGAGTTCTAACATTTACAGGCAATATATCAATTCTCAAGTCATCACACTGATGTAAGTAACTAACACTATCAGAAAAGAAATAGACCTATCATACATACCATTATGCTTCAACTTGCTCTGTGAAGAGTCTGTTGATATAGTATAGTCATTAACCAATAAGCTAAAAATACCCAGAATTTTCTTAAGTGTCAGACTAATTGTTCAATGTAAAACCAAAACAAAGATTGGGACCATACAGTTGAGTTCATTGGATGTATTGAGAAGGCATTAATCCTCAAATTATGGATGACTAATCCTTCTGATTTCCAAAGTATTTATGTCCAAAAAATATTAGATGGTCTCTTAGATCAATTATTGATGCTGTAACATTTTAATTTAGCAGTTGCATAAATATAGATCCTGTTTTCTCCTAGGAAGTCAACTAAATACTTTATGGAACTGCCACTAGAGTTCTTATTACTTGTAGGGTAGAAGACAGCATATCTACACCAGGCTTTGAGACCAAAGACAACTTTCTAGTCACCATTACAAGAAATAAAGAAGCTATACTGTTTTTCCCCGCTTGTGGGTTTAAAGTGGCAAAACTAGCTGTAGAATATGAGTGAGCCCAGCCTTTGCCACTTAGTAGCACTAGAGTTTTGCTTGGAGTCTGTTCCTCTATTTCATGAAATGTTAATCATAATATCTGCCCTGCCTTACTAATAGAACTGTGCTCAGGATCAAAAAAATTGTGTGGAAAGATTTGTAAATAAACATATTTCAAATGGAGGCAATTATTGCTTTTACCTCCCTCAATGTGACAAGATGGTGTCTTCCCTTCTTATCTTCTCCTGAGATTCATAGGACTACTAGACTGCAGAACGGATTAAGGTCCCAACTAGCATTAGCTTTGGGGATCAATTTTAGTATTAAATAGAAATGAGAGACTAAAGTTAAAGGGTCCAGATATCTGTCAGAGGTGACTACAACCTGTGAAGGACAGAGCTTTTCACTTCGGCATACTCTGCTATTGTAATCAAACTTATGTGAACTGAGTGCTTCCTAGAAATTATGATTGATTTTTGTGCCAAAATGTTGAGCATCCTGCAGGCAAGACACAAAGCATCATAATTCCACTTAAGACACTAGCCTCAGAGCTCTCTGACAAATCTTGCATGTCTATTGGCCAGCCTGAGAGGACAATCAAATCTGTCCTGAACACTACAGTCAGATCAATCTTCCTCAGACACAATTTTACGCAACAACTTTTTATTACTGCTACCCCTTGGCTAGCATTGGAGGCCCTCAGTCATTTGAGCCCAATCTTCTAAACATTGCAGTTTTTGGATGACTAGGTATAGGGCAACAGTATGCATTGTGTAAAGATCCCAGCTTATGGAGTAAATTGTACTAAATTTAAATCCTAGTTTCGTAGCAGTATAATCTTGAATACATTATGTAACCTCTCAGAGCTTCAATATTTCCTCGTCTATAAAATGAAGATGATACCTATGTTGCAGGGTTGTTGTAGAGACTGTGTTCTAATAAATGTGATAACAAAATACATAGAACATCTAGTACAAAGTACATCGGAACATAGCAGATGCCCAATAAACAATAATTAATATTATTGCTTTCCAGTTATTCTAAAGAACTATTCCTTCTTCTCATCTTTTCTTGATACAATTTTTTGCTTAATGATAAAGTAGCAATGAAAGTACTTTAAGGTTCAATGTGTGAGTCACCTCATCCATGAAAATTTCTCTGATACTTTAAGTAAAAAATGACTTGCTTTCTTCTGGATATCTCCAGATAAGATATCTTATTGCTTCTGCATCATTTATTATAGTATTATATATACATGTATTATCTCCCCTAAATATCTAGAAATTCCTTGAGTGTAGACTGTGTCTTAGTCACCCTTGCATCACAAAACAACACCTAACCCCATTGCTTCTTATAGCAGTTGCTCAAGAAATGACTGATGAATACATGAATAAATGATTCCAGTTTTTAGGCGATACCTTTACCCTATGCCTCAGGATTTTTCTATTTTTTTCAGATTTGTATAACTGCTTGTTCTCTAAATCAGCCATCCCCAATCTTTTTGGCCTCAGGGACCAGTTTTGTGGAAGACAATTTTTCCACAGACCAGAGGGGATGATGGCTTCAGGATGATTCCAGTGCATAACATTTATTGTGCACTTTATTCCTATTGTTATTATATTATAATATATAATGAAATAATTATACAACTCATCATACAAAAAGGAGGTACTGACAGAAATGGAAAATAAAATAATGGGTGGGTCATGTGCAGACTAAAATAAGTGTTGGTTTCTGACTTAAAGTCTGCCACTAGATGCAGTTGTACAATGGAAGTACCTCAATTCACTTGCCACTCACTGATAGAGTTTTGATATGAGTCTGCAAGCAATTGATCTGTTATGGTCTCTGTCAAACTTCACTGCTAATGTTGATCTGTATTTACAGCCACTCTGCAGAACTAGCATCACTGCCTCAGTTCCAACTCAGATCATCCAGTGTTAGATTCTCATAAGGAGCATGTAACCTAGAGCCCTTGAATGAGCAGTTCACAATAGGGTTTGTGCTCCTATGAGACTCTAATGCCCTGCTGATCTGACAGAAGATGGAACTCAGGCAGTAATGATAGCAATGGGGAGCAGCTGTAAATACAGATGAAGCTTCATTCACTTGCCTGCTCCTCACCTCCTACTGTGCAGCTCCAGTTCCTAATAGGTCAAGGATGGGTACTGATCCATGGTCTGGGGGTTGGGCAACTCCTGCTCTAAGTTGAATAACAAAGCTGTATGCATATGTTATCAAGTAAATGTAGGCAGATGGATGCTTTTGTGGCTAACCTAACGTGAAGGTACTACACAACTCCTCTAAAAAGGGCAGAAGAAACCAAAAGATGAAAGGTCAGTGAATGAGGAAGAAAATGCTACTTTTACAAAATATGAAATCTTCATGTTGTTTCCAGTCCTGATAACACTAGTGTGACAGCACATATATGGCTGATATTCAAGGCTCCCAGATCAATGAAGGACAACACAAGAGGAAGAATTGAAAACATTTTACGTCAAATGCTGAGGAACCACTCAGGATCCTTGACTACAGATCCTAATTCTCTGAGGCTCATGGGTAAGCTTAGATATTATGTAGGAGCAGTGTTACTTTTACTATCTTATTCCTAACGTATTTCACAAACATCAGACAGCCAAAACTGATCTTCAATATGTTTACATCAGAGTAATTATTTGTATTTTTCATTATTGAAAACACATTGCACTTGTATACCTAATCCTGAATTGTAGCCCACATCTTAAAAATATTATATATATATATATATATAATATGGTAAAGTGGTGCTAGGTTTTATATATATATAAAAGAAAACACATTCAAATCACAATAATGCCAAACCTTATAGTTAGTTGAAGGGGTGGGTTACAAGAAGCTGCTTCTCATTCCAAAGCAGATATTAATACTTTAAACAGTCTTTAGATCTAATGTGTCTTGCTACTCTTTTAATGATCTCCAACACTTTAAAAAACAGTACTGAATTTAACATTATAAGACAGATCACTTTTTAAAAGTTATTTTTTTATACTGGCAGGATTTAGTTTCACTTGTGGGTACTTCTTCCTCTAAGGAAAGAGATTTGCAATTTTATACTTTAAGTGGTGTAGAATACAATTCCAATTAAATAAAAAAGAAGTCTCTCAGTGAAACTATGAAGTTGCGACTTCCGAATAATATATTCACATGTAATAAAAGAACCATTCCAGTAAATATTGTTCTCTCCTTTCTATTGAACTTTATCCTGAAATTCCAAATTATTTCTCGACCTTCCTGCCTTGCTGTATCTAACATCTCACTCCATTGTTCCAGGGTGAGTGGTGCTAGGTTTTAAATTTACTATGACTTTTTTGTTCTATTTCAGAAATCAGTAAGGCCAATGCTGAAAAAATTATCAACAACCGTAAGTCCAGATATTTTAAGATCAAATGTATGAGATGATCTAAAACATAGCAGTCATATCTTGTTACTATTAGTCGGGCACAATTCTAAGTGCTTTATGTACAGTAATTTATTTAATCCTCTTAATAATCCTAGAGATGGATAATCCTAGAGAAGTGACACAATTGCCCATATTCATCCAGCTTGTACGTAGTGGGACCATAATTCAAACTCAGGGAGTCTGGCTGCAAAGTCCATAGACATAACTATTAGTTCACCTGCTTCCCACAGCTCACACATTCTCCAAGTGCTGAAGTGTCTTGGAGATACTATGCTGGGTATGCATCTGATCCAGGGGCTGTGGGTGATTTCCATATACATTACATTGTGTATCTATCAGTGCAAGATATTTTCAGATATAATCACACAAGGACAACTCAGTTCACTCTCTGCTTTGTAATTGGGTAAATATTATCTTCCTATTCTCAGTGAAACAAAACTGACCCTTTCTGATAGGCTGTGGGAGACGTGCAAGGATGTCAGCTACGTATGACAGAATCAAGGGAGGTTCCGTTGCTCAGGAAGGAGAATGGCCCTGGCAAGCAAGCCTTAAAATGAATGGGAAACACTATTGTGGGGCATCACTGATCAGTGAACGATACCTGGTGACTGCGGCTCACTGCTTTCAAAAGTAAGTTTATTATGCCATGCAAGACTAGGGAGACCAAAGGCCCTGGGGCAGTTCAAGTTTGCACTTTTCATCCCTTCTTTTTTTTTTTTTTTTTTTTGAGAAAGCAGGATCTATTGAGAGGACAGAAAAGCTCCCACAGTGGGAGGGGACCTGAGGAGGTTGCCCTATCCCTTCTTAATTATTAGTAGCACATCCTTTCATTCTCGGAAGTGTTCTGGTTTGGAAGACAAATTTTACGATAAACCTATCTAAGGTTTTTCCTTCTTCCTAAAAATGGAAATTCTTGACATCACATATTTTTTCTCACGTGATTCTTACCGTTCATAACTTTATACTCAAGACTTCCTGAACTACTTGTAGTTTATGAAAAACATTGTACTGTTTCATACCTCCCTTCTCTGCATACGCCTTCCTCTGTCTCTTAATCTTTTAGGCAAATATGACTCAGCCCTATAGTCTCATCCAAAGTGCTAATTTCCCTCAAGAAATCTTCCATTCCTTTAAGTATACACATTTAAGTCCTTTTGCTTCCTAATCCCACTAATTATATATACCACCATTTAACCAATTATTATATAATAACTGCCTGTGTTTAACCCATCTTTCATTAGACTTATAATTCCTAAGGCTATAGGCTATTTTTATTTCTATGCTCCCATTACCTTATATAGTGTATGGTGTAGGGACTCAAAAATATTTTAAAAACGAATTTAAAAATCAGATTGTATCATTGCTAATTGACAATAAAGCAACCAAATATTCTTGTCATCAAAAGAGTACAGTAGATGCAAAAGGAGTTTCTATCATCTTGAAATAAAAACAAAATATGTGACTTTTTTAATCTTTAGGACAAACAGTCCAAGAAACTATACTGTCAGCTTTGGCACTAAAGTAATTCCTCCCTATATGCAACATCGTGTTCAACAAATTATTATACATGAAGACTATACCCCGCGAGAACATCATGATGATATTGCAGTGATACTGCTCACTGAAAAAGTCTTATTTACAAATGATGTACATCGAGTTTGTCTTCCTGAAGCTACAGAGGTTTTTCCACCAGGTGAAGGAGTTGTTGTTACAGGATGGGGAGCACTTTTATATGATGGTAAGACCAGTAAAAACTTAACATACTTTGTGAGGTTCAAAAGCAACAGGAAAACAGTAACCTGGCTATACAGCCAAAGGCATCATTTACCTCTAGATGCCTGGTGCTCCCAGACAATCTTTCAGGGAATGGTGCATACAAAGTTCTGACTTGGCAAATTACTTCAGTTTTAAACATTCCAAGGAGACCAATTTTGTTGTAGAACCTCCCTAACCTCAAAAACCTAATTAAGAAAACTCTGGCCCAAAGATGTAGTAAGAGAGATAAAGACAGAAAGGCAGCATTAGAATGGTGTTTAAAATTATAATTTGAACATTCTTTTTTCACTGGTTTCAGTAAGAGAACTGACTAGGCCTTTGCATCCTAAAAATAGGCAGCAGTCAAATGTAGGTCTTATGAAGAGAGGACAGATCAAATTTTTCATCCTTCTCTGTTGCAGCTTATTTGATGATAATGTTGATTTCCTTTAGGTGAATACCCAGTGTCCCTTCAAAAAGCATCTGTGAAGATCATTGACACAAACACTTGCAATGCTAAAGAAGCCTATGATGGTGTGGTACTGGACACAATGCTGTGTGCAGGGTACATGGAAGGACATATTGATGCCTGCCAGGTAACTCTGGACATTATTCATATTATGTAAATAAGTGCTCTTATTTTAGGAAAGTCACCAATGAGGGGACAGTTTTATGCTTCAATGAATTGGCATTTTGACAATCCCATCAAAGTCCCTCTCAGCTTTGGTACTAAAATAAAACTTTCCTACATTTAACAATGTGTTTATAATTGTTTAATGAGCATTTGTGTTGGACTTGCTCTGAGTTAAGCACAGTTCTAAGTCCTTTACAAGTACATATATACATATTTTTTGAGTTGGAGTCTCATTCTGTCACCCAGGCTGGAGTGCAGTGGCACACTCACAGCCACCCACCCCAGTTTCAACCTGCCGGGCTCCAGCGATTCTTCTGCCTCAACCTTCCAAGTAGCCAGAACTACAAGCACGTGCTACCATACCTGACTAATTTTTTATGTATTGTAGAAATGAGGTCTTGCCAAGTTGCCTGGGCTGGTCTCAAACCTGTGAGCTCAGGCAATCCACTCGCCTCAGTCTCCCAAAGTGCTGGGATTACAGACTAAGCCACCAAGCCCGGCCCCTTTACAAATATTAATTCATTTAATCCTGATTACAACTTTATGATATAGATACTATCATTATTTTCATTTTGTAGATGAGGAAGTTGAGGCAGAGGAAAGTTAAGTAACTTGCTTGTCACATAGCTAGTAAGCAGAACTGGCATACAAAACCTGTCTGTCTGGCATCACAGTCCAGACTCAACTATATTTTAATAAATGATCATTCTTGGAATTTTTTCAATTACCTTTGGTTCATTTCCAAATTCCTCTCACTTTCTTACCCCCTAGGGTTAAGTTAGGGTCTGGCTATTCTCAGATATGAAGCCCTGAACTCCAAGTATACTTATAGCACATGTTTCCCAAAGCTTTCTCATAGAGGTAGAACTTATAACTTATTAAGTCACACCTTCGAGTCCCATGTAAGCCCCAGAATTCCAGGGACTGTATTTTGATCAGTCACAGAGGAGGTTAAGGGTAATACAGGAATTTATACCATACACCTTCCTATGGTCTCTATGAAGCACCGATCACTTACAAACTTTATCTGGGTTTATTTAGTGTAAGTAAAGTGTCTGCAAGAAAATTCTGATAGTGATAAATATTCTTTGTTTTATTCAGGGTGACTCTGGAGGACCACTAGTTCATCCCAATTCTCGTAATATCTGGTACCTTGCTGGAGTAGTGAGCTGGGGAACTGAATGTGGGACAATCAATAGGCCAGGGGTTTATACGCGAGTGACGGCCTACCGCAAGTGGATTGCCTCCAAGACTGGTATCTAAGAGAAAAGCATCATGTAGCAACTATTGTAGGTCATTTCTGCCTATTTCTCCTAAGCCTTATTGTTTTTGTAAGAATAAAAAGAACACTTTTATTTCATTCTTAAATAAACACAATTACTTCCTAAAGGGTTGTGTGTACCTGTTGAGTCGAGCACAGCTTCTCAAATCTTAGAGGTGAAGTAGACACCAGCACCATCATTTCTATGCCTCATTTATTAATATTTATGTATGGTATTTGCTTTCTACAACAGCAACCACCAAGAATCCAGCTTTGTGAGGATGTGAAATGATCTAAAGGCATGTAGTATAATCTAATGTTGAAACACAGATAACCTCAAGTTTACACAGCATTCCACAGATGTCAAGTATCGCAGTTTATCCCTCAAAATTTAAAAAGTTCCATAACGTCCCTGTGAGTTCGGTACAGCCCCCTGGGGTACATAGGCACACAGTTTCTAAGCCTTATTTAACATGCATTCTAAATTAGTGTGTACAATGGTTGTTTTGAAATAATTGTGGTCCTGAGGGAATAGTTATGAACTTTTATTTTAAAGTGACTCAACAAGACAAAACAAGAAATCTTAGTTTTGATCCAGAAAGGCCTAAGCAAAGAAAGCACTCTCATAGACCATTATAATACTATTTCTTTTCTATCTCACAATTCATATCTCACCATGGCAAAACTCTCAGTTTTTGTAATTTATACTTTTTAGAAGTATGAATGTATGTCTTTGTCTATAGCAAATTAGTAGACACTGTGAGAGGCTGGACCCCAATGGTTTACAGGCTGGGTTGGAACATGCTGCATCTGCCTTCAGGTCATACTTTTGGTGGAAGGGGTGTAGCTGTGACCTAAACCTGGTCAGAATGCAGGTATTGAGTTACATTCTCTTATTTGTATGTTCAATTCTTGCAATCATAGTGAAAGAATTTCACTATCAGCAAAACTAGGCAAAACAACATATTTTAGATTTACAGTGATCAGGTACAGTTAATTCTTCGTACAAGTTTCTGTGGAAATTACTTATTTTGTTGTTATTGTTGTTTGTTTGTTTTTTGAGTCAGAGTCTCACTCTGTCGCCCAGGCTGGAGTGCAGTGGCATGCTCACAGCCACCACAGCCTCCACCTGCTGGGCTCAGACGATCCTTCCACCTCAGCCTTCCAAGTAGCTAGCACTACAGGTGCGGGCTACCACACCCAGCTTATTTTTTGATTTATTGTAGAGGTAAGATCTCACCAAGTTGCCCAGGCTGGTTTCGAACCCCTGAGCTCAGACAATCTCTCTTCTCGACCTCTCAAAGTGCTGGGATTACAGACTTGAGCCACCGCACCCTGCCGGAAAATTACTTACTTGTAACATATTTTCAAAAACTAGCTATAAACTATGGACACATGTAATGTATTTCAATTAAAACAAATTTAAAAGCAGTAATTTTTGTTCAGTGACAAGTTTTCTCTTTTCTTTTTGTTTTCTTAAGAGTTCTTAGGTGGGTCCCCCCCCCCTTCTGATTTCTTCTTTCTACTTCTTCCTTCTTCCTCTTCTTCTGTAAACAGAAGGGTTGTGTCCACTTGGACTATGGTATGGGAGAGGGCTCGGGACAGTTAGAAAGCCACCTGAAGACTGGAAGGAGAGGCTCAGGTGGGTGACCATGGAGGCTGCTGCTCGCAGGAGGCTCCAAGCCACGCCAGGGGATGAGGTGTGCTCACCTGGGCCTGCGGAGTTTGGTCAGGTGCCGGCCCATGTCCTGGATGAGTGTCCATACAGTTTAGAAGTGTTTCTCCAGGAAGTCACAGTTGTGGGGGATCCAAGTGCTCCAAGCCCAGGCGTGTAGGTCAGCAGGCTCGGGTGGCAGAAGGGGCAGAGGAGATTCAAGGATCTAGTTTTTGGGGGTGAGAGTAGGTTTAGAGGTTGGCGAAAGTCATACTAGTGACTGCTAAGACTTTAATCAATCTTGTAATTTTATGTTTTTAAGCCTACAGATGCCAATTTCATACTAGTTTAGTTGTTACATGTGAATCCATGCCATCTTGGAGTTAGAATCTTCTTGGATCCTGTCTTCTTCTGAGAGCCAGAGTTTATTAATATAGCATAGTAAACTCCATTTTTTGGTTAAAAAAATCAATTTTTTTGTACACTTCAAAATGAAAAGATCTTGATGGAACCTAACTGGTAAATTTTTAAACACAACTTACGCTGAATTCTGTATTTTACTGAGTTAAAGTTTGTTAATGACAAAACCCTGCCATGAGAAGCAGCAATTCAAAAGCAACTATTTTACAAATCAAATACCACTAATTAGTATTATGTCCACACATACATTGTTCTAAACAAATGGATAGTTCCGTGGATAGCTTTAAATGATAGAGTATACAATAAACAGAAAAGTCACAAATTAAAGCATACCTTACTTAATTATATAAACTGATAAGTAAAAAAAAAGAACTAATTTGGTGGCTTTATTCAAAAAATACAAATTTTAAATGTTTCCTTATAGTCTTGATGCTATTGTTATGTTAAGAGTAGTGCCAAGTTTGGCACACATAGTTTTGATTAGTAATATTTATCTTATATATTTTATACAAATTACTTCAATGTGCATATAGTCTATGCATAATAAAGAAAGCCTTTAGGTAAATGTTTTAAAAGTTTATGGCAGAGTAGACTGTATTGCACATATTAAAGTTTTTTACTCTAAAATGCTGAGATTAAGAAAATAAAAATTTTAAAGGTTTATTCATTTAAAGGTTTATTCTAGTTGTTTCCTGAGTTTGTATCAGAAGAGATTAAACTTCAGAGACCTCAGAGTCTGCCAAGTCCACAAACTAAATGCCCAGTTAATAACCATAACACATTTTTTCTAAGTCCTGGGAAGGTTGTGTCTCTGACAACACTGAAGAATGATACTATATTATTCCTGGCTTGATGATTTTCTCTTTTGTAGCTCACTGAAACCATTTCATATTTGTTCCTTGCCCCTCCTTTGGCCTTATATACTCATTAAGCCCTTGACACGCTCCTCAAGTGGTGAGAGCAGGGTTCTGTAACTCTGATATTTCTAGACCCAATTCCTTTTCTTTTCTTTTTTTTGTTTTTTGAGTTGGAGTCTAACTCCATTGCCTGGCCCGAGTGCAGTCGCATGCTCACAGTCACCCTAGCGTGGACCTGCTGGGCTCAGGCGATCCTTCTGCCTCAGCCTTCCAAGTAGCCGGAACTACAGACACGTGCTACTACACCCAGTTAACTTTTTATTTATTGTAGAGATGAGGTCTCACTAGGTTGTCTGGGCTGGTCGCGAACCCGCAGGCTCAGGCAATCCACTTGTCTCGGTCTCCCAAAGTGTTGGGATTACAGGCTGAGCCACCGAGCTCGGCGCCAATTCCTTTTCTACTAGACTTCTTTTCTGGAGTTTTGTCTTTTCATTTTTTAGCTGCTTGTTTTTTTCTTTATTCTTCATTCTTCATTCTCAGCTATAAGACATTCCGCACGTCCCCTTGAATCTGCTAATCTGTTTGTTGGATTTGTTGGTTTGCTTTTTGTGATTCTATGACATCCTTTGAAACTTACTCCAAGTAATAACCTGCACACTCATGTTTATTGCAGCACTACATAATAGCAAAAACATGTAATCAACCATGCTGCCCATAGAAACTGGACTAGATTTAAAAAAAATGTACATATGCACGATGGAATATTATGCAGCCATAAAGAAGGACAAACATATGGACTTTGCAGCAACTTGGATGAATTTAGGGTCTATCATACTCAGTAATCTATCACAGAAACAGAGAACTGAATACCACATGTTCTCACTCATAAGCGGACCCTAACGTTTACCATAATACATAAGAAAGGGATTGAGAGTAACCAGAAACTGCTGAGGGAGAGACACATAACATCAGTAAGGGTACCTGATCTCAAACCAGGCAAAGTAAGGACCAAAAGGAGGCCCAAACTTTATCTGAACGATGTCCACTTGTATACCTAATCCTGAATTGTACCCCACATCTTTAAAGTAAAATAAAAAGAAAGAAACTTTAAGTAATATATGGAGATTGGGACTCACTCATTTTCTCGAAGAGTGTTAGGTCCCGTCAAAAACAGAAATAAAAAATAATAACTGAACTCATGGTATGTGTTCCCCTTAGGAAAGTCTATTCTTCTGGGAAAGAAGGGGAGTTAGGTCTTCAGTATCCTCTGAAGAGAGTGTGTGAAGGCTGAAGATGGGTCCCTCCATTCTTATCCAAGTTCTGTTGGGTGTTTATTTTTTTTCCTATCCCAACACTCCTATATGGATACTAGCTATACCATGAGGCTGTGTAGTTCCTGATATAAATGAGCCTGCTCAGATTGTTAGCCTCACAATTTCAAAAGGGTAGTTGACTTTTGTAGTACCAGGTAGCCTCGTAGTATTTTTCTACAACTAGAAATATCTGCTTTTCTACTCTATTGATGGAACAGGTTGAGAGGGTTGTTCCATCACTCTTATTCGTTCCAGGGGTGGGCAGCAGCCTGGAAGCAAAGAGCAGCAGTGTAGACCATATTACACATATTAAAGTTTTAAGGGTGTAGGGAAGCTCACCCAGGCTATTGTAAGGGACCCTCTCCTGCACTATGTGGAATAGTAAGAGCTTTGCCACTTTCTCTGGAGGCAGCTTTTGATGAACTTATTACAAATGAGTTGGCCTGAGGCCTGCAAACTTGAGGTGCCCATCACGGCCATAAACTCTTTCTCTGCATCCATGCAGCCAGCCTACCGTACTAGTTTTGCCAACTCCATATTCTTGAACCTAGATTATGTATAGCAGTAGTTCTCAGACTTTGTGCTCTTAGGACTCCTTTGCATTCTCAAAAAGTATTGAGAACCCCAAAGAGGTTTTGTTTATGTAGATTATATCTATAGCAAACTAAAAATTAAAACTGAAAAAAATTAAACAGTTATTTAAAATAATAATAAATCAATTATATGTTAATATAAATAAAATAATTTTATTTAAAATA